CCAGTGAGCGAGGGGAAATCGGTGGTCAGGCAGTCTGAGGCAAGTGCGCTGGGGCACTTCGTCGACGGCGTGCGTGGGACGATTGGACCCCCTGGCGAGTTCTGCCGCAAGTTGGCCTCGCTGACGCTGCGCACCCTCAGGAGGCCAGTGGTCGCGCAGAAGTGGTTGCAGGTTCTCGGCGGACGCTGGGTTTGCCTGATGCTGTGCCGCCGCGAGACGATGACGCGCCTTGGTGCCTTCTGGAAGTTCATGGTCCGCATGCGAGGTGAGGGCCCTCTCCCATCTTCAGTCCGAGGGGAGCTCCTGAGCGCGCTGTGCCTGATGCCTTGGATGCGCTTTGGTTCGCCGTCGGCCGCATGGCATCGCAGCAGCTCGCGCCTCTCAGTCGGGACGGGCAGTTGGCCTCAACGATGAGGGTATACTTGTCTCGCTATTCTATTGCATAGGAGGCTGCTGCAGGGCGCTGGACATGCTCGGCATTTCCGTGGGGGCGTTCGCGACGAGCGAGATCGACGAGGAGGCAGCTCGAGTAGTCCGATACTCGAGGCCTGATGTTGTCGTGCTGGGCGACGTGACCAGCATCGTTAGCACATGTCTGGAGCAGCTGCGCGAGAGAGCACCAGCGGCCAGGTGGGTGCATGCCATGGCGGGCCCCCCCCCTGCGCGGACGTCTCGCGCGTGAAGGCTGGGCGCCGCGGTCTTGCAGGCAATCGGTCTCGGCTCTTCTGCGAGATCCAGCGGTCGTGCGGCTCTTGGTCGAGGTGATGGGGGGGCAGTGCCAGATCTTCAGGCTCATTGAGAACGTGGCGTCCATGGGCGACGAGCACCTCTTCGCTACGTCGGTCGATTTCGGGCTGCAGCGAGTGTTGCTGCGCGCGGCGGCGCTCTCTCACTGTCATCGTGACCGTGTGTGCTGGGTCGATCAGGACATGCTGGTCGCCTGGCAAAGGGCGTCGGTGACGCAATAGCGAGGTGGAGTTCGGCTTGGAATTCATGAGGAGCCAGGGCCGCAGTCGCGATGGCTTCGCCCAGGGGTGGAGTGGCCGGCTGGGTAGTGCAGTTCGGGGAGGTTGCCCACCTTCTTCAGGTGCGTACCGCGGCGCGTCCCTGGCTCGGCTCCGACGGGCATCGCGTCTTGTGATGCGCAGGCGCTCGAGAGATGGCGAGCAGACGACTGCAGCTACCCGCCGTATCAGTGCAAAGCTGTGAATTGTCTCGTAGAGCCTGACGGTCGCTTGCGAGTGCCTGACGCTCTCGAGAGGGAGCTGCTGCTGGACTTCCCGCCTCGCCACGCGGTGGCCGCGCGGCCCGCGCGGGCAGGGGGGGGGGGCCTGAGGGGGCTCGAGAAGTGCCGATGCGCGTTGCTCGGCAACTCCTTCCAGTGTGGCGCGGTGGCATGGCTGCTGGCGCACTGGGCTGTGTTCGCGGGGTATTTGCAGGAGGTGCCGACGATCGAGGCCGTGAAGTTCATGGGGGGGGGGCCTGGGCCATCGCGGAGGCGGACGTGCTGATGGGGGCTGAGGGCCGACGTGAGAGCGAGCCTAAGGCTCAGCTTGGTGACCCGCCTTCGGACGACGAGAGCGGAGGCATTTTCGCCAGGCAGCGTGGCGTGTGGAAGCAAGACGCTGTGCTGGACCCGTCCGTGATCCTGGTGGAGGAGCTGGGCAACGGAGCTCGTGACTTTGGGCCGTTGGCAGGTGCAGGTGTCTTTCGATCGCTCGACTGTCGTGATTGTGTTGCCCATCACCAAGAGTGGGTTGAGGCGCCACGTTGAAGAACCAGTGGTCATCATTGACGCAGGTCTCGCCCGCTTTGTCAAGCACCTCTCCCAGCAGCTGCGGCCCGGAGATGTGATTTTGTAGAGCAGTGTTGCGAACTTCAGAATTTTGTTCGACTGTTTGTTGGACGGGTTCGGGGTCCGCCACATCGGCTTTTGCCCCGTAGTCCCTCCGCCGAGGAGGTGCTGCGCATTTCTATTCTGTCCTTCAGAATATGCCAGCAAGGCTTCAGATTGGCCGTTTGAGAGACACGCAAACGGCCATACTATACATCGTCGAAGGTGTGCAAGTGTTGCTGCGATTTGCTTTTGATGCGAGCCAGCAGCAGCGGTTCGCAGTGCTGGCCCAGAACTTGTGGGCAGACATTAATTAGGCAACAGGGCTGCCCCTTGTATTAAGAAGTTCACATGATTACACTTCGTGTGGCCCTGCAGTGTTCTGGGGCAGAGACCCCCCCCGCATTTTTCGCTGAAGCAAATCGGGGGCGGGGGGGCCAGAAAGGGGTGCATGGAAACCGCATGGTCCCCGCCCTTTGGGGGGGGGGGGGGGCGTTTTTGCTGCCCGTGGGCGCGGACCCTGAGGCCTTGTTGGCGTGGGGCCTTGGTTTTCAGGCCGTAACCCGAGGCAGCAGAGACGTTATTTCCCTGGGCGTGGCCATGCCCCCTCGGGGGTCGAGGCGTGGCATGGCCCTCGTGGCCACGTGGCCTGAGGGGGCTTGGCTG